TCCACTTTCATTTTACTTTTTGGAGGTTTTTTCCAAGTTCACGTCGACTCTTTGTAGTCTTTCAGACGACGTTCAGGCACAGAGATCTGAGTTTTTTTGTTTTGTCGATCGCTTCAGTGTTGATGTGAACATCTGTCGCATTTGTGCTTAGTTTGACATAATGGACTCAGCAAAGTTGCACAAAAGATATTAAAGGACCAGTGCGTAGGATTTAGTGACATCTAGTGGCAAAGCTGTAAATTGCAGTCAACTGGATTAACTAATTACATCCAGTGCAAACATATATGGATTTGTTTTTTTTCTTTGTATTTTCACACCAAAAGGTTGAGCTAATGTTTTTTGCATCATTAGATGACATGCAGAGCTAATTTAAAGACATGACATGCCGCGATAAAACTAGCATAATAAAAGTGGAAAAAATTGACTGAAAAAAAAATCTGAATGACCAAATTGTGAAAACCAAATGTTGTTGGGGTTTTCCCAACACTCCAACATTTCTTTCAAAATGAAGGAAAGTTCCTGAGTGAGTTATCATGTTAGGATGATGAGGAAGTGGGCGGGGCCAAAAATGAACCAGGATAGAACTAACGGAAATTTTAGTTGTTGTTAGCACGTAACTGTGAATTGATGTGTTAGCGTTGCATCATTTATCCATCCTAAATTCTACACACTGAACCTTTATGGATCAGAACCAGGACTAAAAAATTATCCAAGAACAATTTTCATTAAAAAAAAAAAAAACTTTGTAATTTTACAATTTTGATTGTTTGTCTCAGATTTCAGACATGGTTCAACTTTCAACAGTTTTTTCCCCCACAGAAAATCATTTATATCTACAACATGTTTAATTAATATATCCTGTTGTTAATTGTGGTTCGTTTCTAAATGTTTTTATTTGGATGAATTTTCTGACTCAGCCTACCCCGACTCAAGAGTCGTCAAGGTGTTGTGGTTTGAATCAGGATTACTTCAATCTCTGTAGTACATGATCCAACTTTCCCCAACATTAATGAACGTGTCATTGACAAAACCGGCCAATCAGCTTTCTGTGTTGATTGTAGGCGAAGGTGAGGAGGAGGGGCTTGTCATTGGAGACGGTGAACATTGTTCGTTATCAAAAAGCATAACAATCAATACAACTGACCAGATATTCAACTCGTTCATCAATCAATCAATTAATCAATCAGTCAATCAATCAGTCAATAATGGAAAAGCATGGCTTGAGTGTGGGGTTAATGTCGCAGGCACACTCTGGGTCTATTGCTACTGAAATCAGCCCTTCAGCACAACTGCAACCTGAAAAATTTACCTCGCAGCAGAGTCTTAAAGAGTTAGCTAGTTTACGTGGTTTTCTATTTTCAATAGAATCTAGTAGAAATAGAGTCCAGACGGTGCCAGTAAAATCTTTTTTTTTCTGCCTTTTTTTCTTTTAAATAATTCTATTAAAGCGTTTAGTAAAGATCCCTCGGGCCACCACGATATGAGAGAGGACGAGAGAAAGAAAAGAGAGAGAGAGAGAGATAATGTTATTGTTTGGAAAAAAAAAACTTGAAGCTAATGCTGTTCATAAATTATTTGACACTTCCATCATCGTAAAGTACAAGCGTGCCTGTGTCACAACAGCTTTGCGTAAAAATGGTAATGCACCGCAAACAAACGTCCATTGTTCCTGCAACAGTGTGACAAAGTGTTTGCGTGTTTTCCCCTTCCCACATGAATCTGAAGAAAAAATGTAATATCAGCAAACTGTTATTGCTCAACGCCGTTTGTTTGTTTGTTTGTGCAAATTTGGTTTTGTTTGCCTCTCCTGCGAAACAGGCTTAAAACGTGCAAGGAAAAAAAAAAAAGAAAAATCAACAACCAATTTCAACATCTTATAAATAAAATCATTAATAAATAAATAAATAAATAAAAATTAATAAATAAAGCAGTGTTTTGATTTGAAGAGTTTCTTTTGGTAGATGTGCTCAAGAACGGTGTTTGGTGCCGACCATTTGGACTAAGTGGCCCGTAGACCGTAATGTGTCCACTCTCCTACACCAATGTCCAGGGAGATATCAGAGATTTTAGGTCACATCGTTCAAGTTTAGATTTTGTGACAAAGTGTTCCTTTGTCCTTGTAATGTTAAAGTTTTTACTCTGTTTGTCTCCATTGACTTTGGTGCAGTGGTGAAAATGGTTCATCACGTCTATAGGTTAATGAGGCAGCAGAGGGCGCTCTTTTTTGCTCAGTTCTAACCAAGTAGCAGTTCTCTGTATCAAATGTAAAAACTTTTTTTTTTTTGCATTTTAAGTGAAGTGAAATCATTTGTTTTCATTTAATTTTAAGTTCCACCAGAGCAGTAGTTTTGATTAAGACAAATTAAAAATCTGAACACCCACTTCTGTCACACATTTAAACATGGCCTTTTTCTGTTTGTTTCAAAAATGAAACTCCTCAAATCATTTCGATTACACGTCAGTGTCCTGGAAAAGAATATGGAACTGGATCCTGTTTTAACAAACGCTGAGTCCCTTTTTTGACTAGGTGGGAGTTTTAAAAATTCCGAAGGTTTTAACAAACGCTGAGTCCCTTTTTTTGACTAGGTGGGATTTTTAAAAATTTGTGTTTACATGAAGTCTGAACCGTATCCTTCAAAGTTTGTGTGCTGTTAGAGGAAAGTGTTGCCCAAAAGGGACAAATGGTGTCGAACAAATGACTCCAACTAAATCAGGTTTAGCTCCACCTGCTGGGCTCAGACGTCCAACTACTGCTTACAATGGAATCTACTGCATTTGTTTTGTGAGTCAACATGCAAATATAGTCAAGTGTATTGACGAAATAGATTACATCCTCCACAATAATGTAGACTGATCGTCTTAAACCTGGACCATGAACCAGAACTTTAGTCTAAAGTCAGGTTTCCAGAACAGAGACGTTGACTTAAAAATGCAAAATCATGCCCTGTGAAAACTAAACCTGGGGCTAAAAGTTGCGATGTTTGTGCGTTGAGCTGATTGTCAGACTCTGGTTGCGAGTGTTCAACAGCACAGACATCGTAGAACCCTTCAGTCTGGAGACTTTGGTTTCAGGATCCAGTGTACTGTGACGGATTAGGACCAGATCAAAGGTTTAAATGTGGTTTTGTTCAAATGTTGTAGTGCATTTCCCTCCAGGTCTGGTACCACATGTAGGTGCAGTACCTGTGTTTCCACTAGAAGAAGAAGAAGAAATAGGACCAGGACCTACATGTGTGGTTCAACCTCAGGGACCAAATGAAAGAACTGTGACTAGTACAAGTACAGACCTCCAGAAAGGCCAGAGAACCGAGAGTCTACAAGTCCAGATGAAGGCAGGTGGACTTGACTGAGTTTCTCCTCTACAATAACGTTTGTTTCACCTGAAGATATTTCAAACATCCAGTGAAACTCGAGCAAATCCTCATGCTTTCCTCTAAACGTCAATTTCCCAAGACAAACCTAACGGTGCAACCAAAACTATTTTTATAGGACTCCACACCAAAGCTGAAGGGAACACAGCGATGCTTTTCTCTCCTCACACCTGAGGACTACAGTATGTCGTGTTGATTCAGTGAGGCTTTGTTAGAAAAACATTTACTTCTTTAGAAAATGCTACTGGCACTAAAAGCTTCTGGAACCGCAGGGTTGAACGGCTCCACTGGTCAAACATCTAATGATAATGACACACGTTGACCACCAGGAGAAAGCTCAATCTGGAAGAGTTGGGTTTTTTTTTGCACACACACATCAGTTCATTTTGGGTGTTATTGCAAAGGTTTTTTTTTTTGCGAATTATGTGAAAATCTTAAATAATCCCAGACTCACTGACTGAGTGTCTTAAAGTGACAGCACGTGGAAACTGAACTGACTGAGTGTCTTAAAGTGACAGCATGTGGAAACTGAAAAGTGCAAAAAAAACAAAAAAAAAACAGATAAAGTTGCTTTGTATTTCTTTTGCTTGTTATCCTGACTCCACTCTCTCCTCTCATCTACTACTATGTGGATATTTAGCCACTTCTTTATAGCCAGTGCCACTCAAAGTTGAGAATCGAGGGAGGCTGCTTATTTTTATACCCTTCAACTTACTCTAAAAATATAAAAAATAGTAATAATCGTACTGCTATTAAAAGCCTGGTAACATCAAGAAAGTTATACTTCTCCTACGAAAACATTTCTGTTTGATTTAAATTGCTTTTATCAATTCCCTTCCTCTCTGTGGTCTCATTCAACTGTTAGCTAACATGCCGAGAATCGCCACCAGGAATACCATCGCTCTAAAAGCCGGGTCGAATCGGAGCATACGGATCATCGTGTGGGAAGGCACAAGCTCCCCTTAGGCTATTAAATGACAGATACATCTGTGATATAGTTGTTCTGAACCTTTGGTGCTGAGGTCAGAGGTCAATCAGTGTTTCTGAAATCTCGCCTCCTAAAGGTCAATTTGATCCAGAAGTGCTGCGCCTCCACACTCTGAGCCCAACAAAAAAGGCATTTTAGACTGGACTGGACAGGCAGAAGGGACAGGTTCCTTCTTGGACTGTGGAGTTCTTCCACGTCCCTTCTTTGAGTCCCACTGTAGAGTCCAGGAATCTCCAGTGGACACAGAAAGTAAGGTTAAAGGTACTAGATTATCCTCTGTTTGCCCTTTTTCACTCATAGCTTCCACGGTGCCTCTTCAGCGTTCCTCAGCTATGGTACATTCAGTAAACAAGAACAGGTTTTACCCAAAACTAAACAGTCCTCATTTTCGTTGTTATTTTTTTGCTTGTGGCGGTGATGCTTCCTGATGTGTGTCAGGCATAAACACTGAAAGCGTCTGTTCGCTCGGTTCGGTGTCGGCACCGTCAACCACTGCTGTTTCTGTCTTAACAATAACGGGATGATAGACGTCTGGCGTAGCCCGTGTCACGCTGTCGTAGGACGGCGGGGACGAGGCGGTGGAGACCGCCTCGTTGCGCTCCAGCCCTAACAGACCTGTGCCGTAGTTCTCCTTCATCATCGTGGCGATCAGGCCTTCCTTTTCAGGTGCGTCGTCACCGAATAAATCTTCAACATCATTTACATCAACGCCCGACCGCGCTAGTCCTGGTGTTGCCATCTGGCGATACAGGTAGGAGGCGGCCTTCAGCTGCCGTCTCACCAAGTGTCTGCGGTAGCACCTCTGGATCACCATGGCTGAGACTTCCTCCTGCTTTCGTCTCAGAGTTGTGGTGATGGGCTCGTAGGAGATCTTGGAAGGGTTTGCCATCATGAATTTCTCCTCCATCTGCTGCTTCAGTGCATCCATCTCGCCCGACTCGCCCAAAACCCGCTTCGTGAACGCAAAAAGAATATCTAGGCAATGGATCTTGTCGCCGCTGACCATGGGGAGGTCCATGGAGATCAGCTTAATCTTGTTTGGTTTATTGATCCGCAGAGGTTCCAACAGAGTGTCGGCGAAGTCGGAGAGTTTGGAGTATTCTATGAACTGCGTGGCTTCTGGATCAAACTTCTCCCAGACTTCGTAGAACATTTCAAAATCGTCTTCAGTCAGCGGCTCTGTGCTCTCCTCTGTGGCCACGCTGAAGTTCTCCAGGATAATGGCGATGTACATGTTGACCACGATGAGAAAGGAAATGATGATGTACGTGACAAAAAAAGTGATGCCCACAGAGGGGTTTCCACAGTCACCTTTGATGGAGGTGCCAGTGTGGGGGATGGTGGAGTCGCACTCCTCAGGAGAATTATTAAGTATGGGGCTGAGCAGCCCGTCCCACCCAGCAGAGGTGGTGATCTGAAACAGGCACAGCATGCTGTTTCCAAACGTCTCAAAGTTGAACATGTCGTCTATCCCTGACTGCCGCTTCACGTAGGCGAAGTTAGCCATGCCGAATATAGCGTAGATGAACATGACCAGGAACAGAAGGAGCCCGATGTTGAAGAGAGCAGGAAGTGACATCATGAGGGCAAATAACAATGTCCTGATTCCCTTAGCACCTCGGATGAGACGCAGAACACGACCGATGCGGGCCAATCGAATCACTCGGAAGAGAGTTGGTGACACAAAGTACTTCTCGATGATGTCAGCAAGAACGATACCTGTAGAACAGACAAAAAGAAAATCAATTTAACCACCGCTTCCAACGGTGTTCTCACTGGACAAGGCTGCGTTGTCATGGCAACAACTAAAGTTATTTAACACACATTGCTATTTTTTTAATGCGAAGAATTTGGAATAAAAAATATCTTTTTTTTTTCCTACAAAAAAAATCATGTGAGAACAGTTCAAACAGCTGAGCATAAGTACCGTACTTTCCAAACATCATTAAATATATTTTGTAGATTTTCACGTTAGTGTTTTCTGTCTCTGTGTCCACTGCAGATCACAGTGTTGTTAACAACATAATCTCTGGCCTACTTCAGTGTCCCACAGATGATACCCAACTCTCCTCCTCCTCCTCACAGACAGAGTGTCTTCCTGTAGGATTTCTCTGGTCCTTGATTCAGTCCTTGCTGTCCTCCAGCAGCTGAGGAATCCCAGGGAAACTGCTGTGCAGGGACTTATATCATGTGAAATCGATGACCTGACGATCTCCCTTTTATCTAAAGGACGTGTGTGAAAATGTCTCAGTGTGAGTTCTGTCCCCACACGTCAGACGTGTTTCATTATGACTGGCCGTGGATGGAGGGGCCACGTTTTCATCTTGAACGGTGACTCCAGCTCAGTTTTCCTTGTTATCAGGGAATGATAAACAGAACCCGGAGCAGGACAGTCATCACCTCCTTCCTCCTCCTCCTTATATCTCTCCCACACCCCCGCCATCTGCCCTCCTCTGTTGAGTTATAGGTGATTGAGAGGATGAGCGGGGGGGAGTCGAAAGGGAGGAGTCACCATCACATCATACATCAAGTCTATTCCTGCTTCCCGCTCCATGCTAACGTCTCTATCACTCACACACTCGATTTTGTTTATTGTTTGAGGAACAAAAGCCACTCACAAACCTGAGCGCTAACTTGACCGCTAAGACAACAACAGCCTTTAATCCCTATGAAAAGAAGGCTTACTGTTTCTCTAAGCTTCTGAAGCTAATTAAGAATCCTATGTTATTTGTCATGGAAGGAGTTGGACTTTGGTAGATTATGATTCACTTGTGTTGGAGCTTAAATCAAGCAAGAAATTATATTTTAAGAGGGCTAATAATTAGCAAAAGTCAAAAGTAGAAACGTAAAACGTATCCAGCAGAAACTTGAAACTTCTTTCAAACCTAGTGATAAAAAATTTGCCAAAATTATATAAAAATAACCAAAAGCAAGGCATCATTAATCGCCCTTGACCACCTTAAAATTCCTAGAATTAAGTCAAGAAACACATGCAAGCAAAACAGCTTAGCAAAATGTAGAAAAAATAATAATAAGAAAAACAAATAATACCAAAAAAAACAAATACTCGAAAAAGTTTAAATAAAAGGGGAATCATGAAAAAACATACATTCATTCATCTTAATGGATCACTAGTAGTGTATGGTGGTGTTCTCATCAGCAATGCTCCCTTTGTCATTTTCTTTTTTAAATAAAATTTCCATTTTTGTTTGAGGGGGTAAATATTCACCAGTATGAAACCAGAGATCAGAAATACATTCCAAAATTTGAGAGAATGAATCCAGTGTTGATCAGTTATTATTATATTATATACACGTAAAGTCACACATGTTTAAACATCAATCCCCCCCCACACACACACACACCAAACAGCTGATGTAACAGGTCAATCATGTTTGATTTCTCTCCAGGGGCCGCCCTCTGGCAGCTCTGATTGCTGCTGTTACCTTCACCTCCCCCATCACACGCACGCACACACACTCACACACACTCACGTCAAACTAACAGCAGCAGCAGCAGCTGACAAAATATGAGCACTGATGGCTAAATTACCTGTTCCTCTGTGTGTGTGTGTGTGTGTGTGTGTGTGTGTGTGTGTGTGTCATCACTCTGGACCTTGGTGCAGAGTAAACATCAAGGCCACACTGATGGTCACTTTGTTGACAGATAACTGTCATGTGCGTCGTCGTCAAACACAAACACACTGTTAGGAAAAATCCACTGGTCAAACACACACACACACACACACACATCAATATTCTCATGTCAATACACACACACAGCTTTTTCTACATTAGTTGTCATAGTTACTGTGGGCAACAGAACTGTACATCACCTGTGAATGATGATGATCATTTATGTCATTGTCTTTGTCCTGATCAACACCAAAATGTCTGAACGCATCATGAATGACTACGTCCACAAAAAGAACTCCTGCTGCGGTACGTTAACATAACAGCTTTGTTAAGATGTTCAGACACTGAACAGAGATGTTTCATAACAGCACACAGGCCTGATGTCTGGAGGAGAATTCATTATATCATCAGCGTATACAGTAATAAAACCTCTATATGTTGATGTTATTTTATTATCAATAAAACAAAAAGATTTAATAAAAGGTAGATTTTTTTTTTAAATTTTTCTAAAAATATGCATAATTATTAATCGCTATAAATTGTTTTTTTTATTACCATTATAAATTAGGAAAGCACCGAATTTAAAGCTTTTCACTTAAAAAGTTTCGCCCCAAAATGGCTCTGGTTTCTGCCAAGAATTTTAATTTCGGAGCATCACTATTATAAATTTATAATTATATATATTTATATATTTATATTTTAAAATAGTTCTTAAAGCTGATGATTATTAATTAAATACTTAAATATTATTCATTAAAATATTATTTACTATTTATTTTAATACAATTACGATCACTTTATAAAAAACAATCTAATTTTCCAAATCAAAACATTTGACTCTCAGACTTTTATTTAACTTGTCGTGATGTATTTCTTTGATACTGCGATGTGTTTTTTCAGAGCGTAAAGACACCGGACGTTGGTGGCTGCAGAACTCACCCACGATGGAGAGGATGACCACCACGAAATCGAAGATGTTCCAGCCCACGGTGAAGAAGTAACACCGCAGCGCTATGATCTTGAGGAAGCACTCGCAGGTGAAGACCACGATGAAACCCAGGTTAACGTTGTTGAGGACAGTCTCCATGTAGCGCGACTGTTCGTCCGTCTCCACCATCATGGTGATCATGTTGAGGAGGATCAGACTCATGATGATGATGTCAAATGCCTGCTTCCCTACCAGGTCGAAGAAGAACGCCTGGAAGGAGTTCTAACGAGAACAAAAGAAGAAGCTAAAGGTGAGCTTTAATCCTGATCGGACCTGACGTCACAGCACATCTCCCTTGGAGCCTAGTTTCTTCATTGCGTTGTAATATTTCTTCTGCTCCTCTGTCATGAAGATGTCCTGACCACTTGAGTGAACAAGGTTTGGTTATTTTTGAGTTAAGTTAAAGTGATGGTAGGTCAGTTCATCCAAAAAAAAAATAAAAATAAATGTTTGATCAAGTCTGTGATATTTAAAGAGGAAACTATCAAACAGAGTTCCCTCTTAATTTCAGTCAAACCGTAAACAGAGAAGATGGAGAAAATCTGTGATTAACGTTCACAGGGACACAGGAGGTAACTGCTGCCTCGTGTGGTCAGTTTTTGTCACTGAAGTCAATCTGAAAAACTGATTTAAAGAAATGACACATTTGAAATTTCCACAGGAGGCAGCAGTGGGTCACACAATGAAATCTGACCACTGTATTTAACCCAGTGGGGAGCAGTGTCGAGGATGATGCATGCTCACTGGCAGCTTGGCAGCTAGTGGATTCAAACCTGCGACCTTGCAGACCCGAGTCTGCTTCCTTAACCACCGAGTTCATCTTTCTCACAATATCTTTTCAAAAATGTACAACAATCCGTGTCCAGTGTGTAGGCGTGTCACCTATCCTTCGTTTCTGTTGGTTGAAGTTGTCGATGATGACACCAATGAAGAGGTTGAGGGTGAAGAAGGAGCCGAAGATGATGAAGATGACGAAGTACAGATACATGTACAAGTTGATCTCTTTGATGGGCTGCTCCTCCACCTGTGAGCCACGGACAAGAGCAGAGAGTTGTTTCTTTGTTTGTTTCTGTGAACTTTGTGTGTCATTTTTGATGGAAGAGAAAAAAGAACTCACAGCTCTAGAGTCGACTGCTGCATACATGATATCCATCCATCCTTTAAATGTTGCCTTTGAAGGACACAGAGAAAAAAATATAGTGCTGAAAATTTGCTTCAAACTCTTTTTTTTTTTCAATTTCAAAAAAATAAAATGACTGATTTTGTAATGACTAAACAAAACTCAAATGTGTGCGAGTGAGCTTGACTACCATCCTCAGGGAATGTGTCATCAGTAGGGGGCACTCACATTCTAGTTAATCACCTGTTTGTACTTCTATTAATCCATCATCTACTACTTCCAGTTTCCAGTGTTTCCCAGAGTTTCACCTTCAACCCTGAGGCTAAAATAACCAACAAACATCTTGGATGTACGTCAGAGGAGTCACTTCCTGTGGTTTTCCTTCATCAAACTTCACGCCTCCTTCTAGGGACTTCCTGTCTTAATGGCTGCGAGGGGAGTTTGTACTGAGTGGGCATCTGACATCCGCCACTCAGACCTGAATCAAATCATCACCACAGGTTACCGGCTGTTTATTATGGTCTGTCAGGTGTGTTCCTGCGTGTGTGTTTTTCTGGGGGCACACGCTGTAAAAAATGCTGCTGAGAGTCGCTCTTCACAGGAAAACAACTGGATTAGGTGTTCAACATAGTTCAACTTCTCTCCTCTTAATGATCCTCATCTTCATCATTCATCTACCACATTTGTCATTTCTAAATCATCATCATCATCACTATCATATTTCATCTCATTGTTATGATCATTCATGTTGTTCTCACAAACATCGTCATCTTTTTTGTTGTTGTTATTGCCAGTGGTTTCCTAATATTTTCATCTCATCCATTATTATTATTATTATCCTCAACATAAATGATACATCATGATCTTAAATGATCAAATGTTCAGGTTCATTTTCCTTTTTAATGATATAATTAGAATTTTTTATATTGAATTCTCTTTTTCTGTAACTAAAGTGGAGGAGACACAAACAAAAACTCCTTAGAATTTACAGCGTGCTGCTGCTGCCGCCGCTGCTGCTGCAGCTATTTCCAGTTGCTAATGGAAGGGTTGCCCTTGTCAACCATCGCCACGCCGACCAGACAAACGCAGAGATGCTGAGTGACTTGT